AAGCCCAAACAAAAGCAGCTCCTGAAGAAATATCCATGTGGGTTCAAAAACGGGCAAAGAAGGATCCAGATACTGGCATCTGGTACGGCCCTGATGGCCGCCCCGCCCTGCCCATGGGGGACCTCTCACGAGCGGCTTTATCTGAGGCACATGGGCTAGCCCATGTGGGTCAGGTACAGATGCTCAGGAATATGTCACAATGGTGGCATCCCTTTAAGACAAGCATGATCCAAGATTATACTAGGTCCTGTCAAATATGTCAGAATTATAACCCATCGCCCTGCTCAGCTGTTTCCCCAGGAAAATTCACACCTGCTGCTTGGCCTGGGGCACATGTTGTGATGGACTTCACAGATATGATTAACAGGTTGAAGGAAGTCTCGACCTCTGCGAGAAGGAGGCCTCGGAGGATCCACCAGCCTGGGTCCGTGTGAAGGTGTTCAAAAGGAAGTGGAACGAGCCCCGCTGGACCGGACCCTTTGAAGTGGTGGCCCGCACTCGCAAAGCTGTTCAACTGAAGGGACACGGGAACAAGTGGTTTCATCTCTCTCATACGAGACCATCTGACCCACCCTCGTAACCACGCTCACGGGTTGGACAGGGACTCACACACACGCTTACACTCGCTCTTAATATGTTGCCTTGGGACAGGGAGCCCTGGCCCACGACCAAAAGAGGGAGAGCCATCCTATGGGCTATCGCTGCAGTTGGTTTGGTCGTGGTCCTGGGAATTTTAACATGGGAAGTGTTAGAAAACACACAGCTAAGAGACAGGGCCAGACTTGTAACACAATCCAGTCTTTGGTCCAATAAGACTGACAGAAATAAAAGATCCATAGGAGAAGGCAGCGTTAGAGACTCCCTACCTACGACTGTGACAGTAAAATGCCCGGTGGGTGCGACAATTACAGCCCACATACCAATGGCAACAATCTTTCCATTATCCTTTCGACCTGACTTCACACTCTACCTGTGTTACACACCGTCAACATGTAAATATGAGAGACATGGAAAAAGCTTTAGAGCATCGGTGGACTGCACCTGTGATGCTTGGGAGTATGTTATATCCAATACAGGTCCTGATTGGGGTTATAATAATGAACACAGATTGAAGGGACGAGTGATTCTGACTATAGACCACTCACAAACAACGGTGCTAGTCACTGTGAAAAATGTAGATAGAATTAATTTCATTTGGTATACTATGCTTAGGCTTGCCAATCACACCAGGGACGCAATAGAGGGATTGGCGGAGCAGCTGGGGGCCACCTCTCTGGTAGCATTTCAAAACAGAGTGGCTCTAGACATGCTCTTAGCAGAGAGAGGTGGGGTCTGCAGTTTATTTGGTACAGAATGTTGTGTATACATTCCAAATAACACACATCCAGATGGATCAGTTTCCAGGGCTCTGGCTGGTCTCAAAATGCTGTCAGAGCAAATGCATGACGTTTCTGGAGTCCCGGAGAACCCACTGGAGGCGTGGCTGGACAGCATCTTGGGGAAGTGGAAGCATGTAATTTTGTCTGTTTATCACAAGCCTTGCGGCCATCTTTGCAATAATAATGGTTGTAGGATGCTGCTGTATACCTTGTATACGTTCTCTTTGTGTTAAAGCTATAGACACCGCTGTTAACCCTGGACTGAGAGGTCAAATGCTTGCATTGGTTGAGGATTCCCCCGTCCCGTCGCCTGAGGAAGGTTATTGAAATGTGTGGCCTTTTTTTAATAGCGGCCAAAAGAGGGGACTGTTGTATTAAATATAGGCTAAAAGGCGATGTGAATTAGATTGACCTGAAATTGAACTCTGTCTGTCTCCAAGCAAAAAGAAAGACCTTGTATTGCCCAACTCCCCTTGTCCCATTTTGTCCAAAGTGCATGGGTGAGTTAATGATAGTTAATCTGGGGGGATTCTGCTAATCCTTTCAAGTTGTGAAAGAAGGAGATGGAGTCCAGAATCTGGAGGAGAAGCCTTGAGATCCCTCTGCCTTATCTCAAAGGAACTAATAAATCGATAGAATTAGGGAGGGGTAGTGCGTGAATGATTTCTGTTTAGGTTTGGCGAGACGGAGGAAAAGGCCGGACCTTGGACCAGACATCTGCCTGATACGACACGCCCCCTTCTTCATGCACATTTACTTATAATAACCTCATGCTTGTGTTAGTCTAGACCGGACCAGGGACAGGAGTGTGATTTGCGTGGAGCGCCCACCAAAATCATACTTTTATATTTTATATAGAGAATAAGGGATAGTTACTTTTGGTCCGAACAGCTGTTTTAGATTCTTTTTGTATTAGGGAAATAAACCTTTTTGAATTTAACTTCCTGAATCATGGTCATCTTTATAAGGGATTTTGAACACGTCATTTTTTAATATAATAAGAGTAATGGCAGTATTTTACACACCTGAATTACAAACAGAGGTTGCATTGGGGCTTTGGTCATTATTGATTTGAGAGTTCTGTTTTCAAGAAAAAATGATCGGAAGAATTGCTGCTGCTGCTTTGAGGAGCTCTATAACAAATTATAATTAAATATTAGAATATATTCTAATGTATATTCTAATATTTAATTATAATTTGTTATAGAGCTCCTCAAAGCTCTATAACACATATTCTAATGTGGGGCGACAGTAGCTCAGTTGGTAGAGCACTGGCCTTTGAGCCTGAAGGTCGTGGGTTCAAACCCACCATAAGACCTACTTCACGACTCCCACTGATGACTGCTGTCGTTGTGTCCTTAGGCAAGACACTTAACCCCACTTTGCCTGAAGCCCCCACTTAAAGATCTCAGCTTCTGTGGACTCACCACCTGCAGGAGGATCAGTGAGGGGCTGGTGCTCTGTGTGCTGGGTGGCATCTCTGGCCACCCCCCGACCCAGAAATGGATTAAGGGGAAGAAAATGGATGGATGGATTGGTATTCTAATGTTTTAAATTACTACATTCGGACGCGAAACTAGCGTTATTCTTTTACTTATATATTGTGTTAGCAGTGCTAATGCTAATGTTAGCATATGTATCAGATCGCAAATAAAACTAGGTGGCTCCGTGGGATTAGAGCGCAGGGGAAATGAGAAGCCATTGAGCGAGTTGGGGGGCGGGGCTAAACATTCAAACATTGCAGAAACGGGTATAGCGCCTTTAAAAGCTGTCTTTATGGAAGTGGGACTTTATCTGCAAATGTATTTTATTAAAGACAAAAGTAACATCTGTATAATGTGCTTATCTTACTATACGTATATTTACCAGACTATTGTACGAAAAGTGCTTTATAATAAGCCTTAGCCGATTCTGTAATTTCATATATGTCTAATATATACAGTAAATGCAAATAAATATACATTATTCCCAGTCTTTGTATTTATAATGCTTAATCCCATACTATCTATCTTATATCAATACCAGAGGTTACATTAACTGAAAATTCTCCGTCATTGACGGATTTTTTTTTTTTCTGACGTAAAATTTGGAAGGCCGTCCGTCATTTTGAAGGATTGAAAATTAAGTTAAAATTTTACATTGCGAGTCGTAGTTGACCGTCCTCTCCACTAGATGGCGCCAGCGCCGTTTATATGATACAGGCTGTCACATGTCATATTTGACAGATAGCAGTCATTAGCAAAAATGTCAAATCAGTTGAGCCTAAAAGATTTTTTTCAGCGATCTGCTTCAGCTCAAAATAATGACAGCAGGGGACAAAAAAGACCCCCTTCATTTGAGGAGGACAATGAAGACACCATTCAACATCCGTCGGTTTCACCCCCTCGTCCACCGGACCGAGGCGCCAAGGAAACCCGAAGGGAGTATCGGTCACAGTGGGAGCAAGAGTTCACATGGCTAACCATGAAAGATGGAAAAATGTATTGTCAAATTTGCCAAGAAGCTAAAATGAGCAACGGCTTTGTCCGTGGTTGTCCCACTTTTCAAAAATCATCATTAAATGACCACAAGAAAAGCTTAAGCCATAAGGAAGCATCTCGTATTTTGAACCAAAGTGTAGCTATGGAGAAGCATGTGTCGCAGTCACAGGCAGCTTGTAACGAGGCTCTGAAAAGCCAACTGAAAGTTGTACTTCACATGGCGAACACCAATACACCAAGCCACCTTTACCCAAAAATAATAGAACTATTACAGTCCACTGGCTGCCCAAACTTAAACGCTGCACACGTGTACACTCACAACCAAAGTGTGAACGAAATGGAGGATGCGATAGCGCAGACCATAAACAACACTGTTAATGACCGCATCGCTGACAGCAGATTTTTTGACATAATACTGGATGAAACCACGAATATCACAGTGGACAAAATGCTGATAATCTACCTAACATACCAACTAAAGGGAGAGCCTGAAACTAATTTCCTTGGAAATTATGCCATGTCCTCTGGCACCGCAGGGTGCATCACAGCCAAAATTAAAGAAGTTCTATCGGGTCGTGGTGTGGCTCTGGATCGCGTAGTGGGACTGGGAAGTGATGGGGCGAATGTGATGGTGGGTCGAAAAGCTGGAGTTGCTCAACAGTTACGTCAAGATGACTGCCCTTATCTCCTGAACATACACTGTGGTGCGCGCAGAACAGCACTGGCAGCCCGTGACGCATCCAAAGCCGTGCGTCAAGTCAGTGCCTATGTGACAACTCTGAACAACGTGTACACTTACTACAAAAACTCTCCTATACGCACACATAGACTTCACCAACTACAACTGGAAATGAATGAAGGTGACGCGCTGAGTTTAAAACAACCATGCGCTACGCGTTGGCTGTCCCTGGAGAGAGCGGTGAAAGGCATTCGTGCCAACTGGGCATGTGTGGTCATGGAGTTGGAAGAAGAAGCTGCGAATGGTTGCCCGATTGCAAAAGGTTTACACAAACAACTCCTGAAGCATGCATTCCCTGCGTTAACTCACCTGCTTGCTGATGTCTTGGCTACTGTAAACCGAATGAATCTCACGTTTCAAAAAGAGGACGTACACATATCCTCTATTCAGCCCATTGTGAGCATGACCCTCGCCAATCTGGATGACTTCGAAAAAGGCCTCGGGGATGTGGAGAAGAAGTTTGTTGAGTGCTTTCGAGAGGGCATCTTCTGTGGTCATCGGCTCACTCACGTGGATGAACACGGCTTCTCCGCCTTACGAGCGCAGTATATTGGTGAGATTATGAAGTCAATTAAAAAGAGATTCCCTTCTGGGGATGTGAGCCACATTTCTGACCTCGACACTGTCCTCAACGCCTCTCGTTTTCCGAACACGAACAGCGCGCTCCAGGAGTACGGCTTGGATGCTGTCGAGCGCCTTGCTGACTTTTATGGCGCGCACCCAAACGCAGCGGTCTCACTCGTTGAAAAGGAAAGGATGGTACGGGACTTTCGCTCCGTGAAACGTGTGCTTGCAGGTTCAGGTAACCCGCCATTTAAGGACTCCTGTAAGCTTCTCATCAACACATACGCGGAGATGTTCCCAGACTACAAAACTCTGGCCGAAGTAGCACTTGTTATTCCTGTGTCAAGTGTCGCTGCTGAGCGCGGCTTCAGTCTCCAAAATAAAATCAAAACTGCACTTCGAAGCCGTCTGACCGAGACAAAAACACAAACTCTAATGACAATCGCCTCTGTGTCGCCAGCCCTGCACACATTCAATCAATCAATCAATCAACGTTTATTTGTAGAGCGCCTTTCCTACACAAGGCAACGCAAAGCGCCTCACAACCCATATAACATCATGCATAAATCATCAAACATTAGAATTTAAGTAAACATAAAAAGACAGATTAAGAGCACAAGATATATAAAATCACACAAGTAGTTAAAAACCGTAAAACATTAAAATCACACAAGGGATTACAATCATAAATAATCATAAATAATCATAGCGCATTAAAAAGATTAAAGATAAAAACAAATATAAAATCATTCACTTGTATGCACAGCTAAAAAGAACTGTTTTCAGTTCAGTTTTAAAAACTGCTAGAGTAGACGCCTGTCTCACACTCTCGGGAAGACGGTTCCAGACTCTAGCTGCATGAATCTGAAACGCAGCCTCCCCATGTCTAGTTCCGACTCCTGGCACTAACAGAAGTCCAGTCCCTGTGCTCCTCAGAGCCCGAGTTGGTTCATATGGCACCAACATGTCGCGGATGTACCCTGGTGCGAGGCCATGGACAGACTTGTACACAAGTAAAGCTACTTTAAAATCTATTCTCTGAGCCACAGGAAGCCAGTGCAGAGACCTGAGGACCGGACTAACGTGGTCGTACTTCCTGGTTCTAGTCAGGACTCGAGCTGCAGCATTTTGGATGTACTGCAGCTGTTTTACCGCTTGTTTAGAGAGACCTGTGAACAAGCCATTGCAGTAGTCCAATCGACTGGAGACAAATGCGTGGATAAGAATCTCCAAGTCTGCTTTAGACACAATGTTTTTAATTTTAGCAATGTTTCTTAGGTGGAAGTAAGCTGATGATGTCACAGATGATATGTGGCTATTGAAATTTAAGTCTGAGTCCATTATTACTCCTAGATTTCTGACCTGAGTTGAGGGTTTTAGGGAGAGAGACTGGAGGTGGCAGATAACGCTCTCTTTGTTTTTGAGGTCCGAAAACAATAATTTCAGTTTTTTCTGTGTTTAGCTGGAGAAAGTTGTTTTGCATCCACTCACTGATTTGTTGGATACAGTGAAGGAGCGAGTCCACTGGTCCATGTTCTCCTGCTGTCAGGGACACATAGACCTGAGTATCGTCAGCATAATTGTGATAGGACACGTTATTACTGTGTATTAACCTACCCAGAGGCAGCATGTAAATATTAAACAGGAGAGGCCCCAGGATTGATCCCTGTGGCACTCCGCAGGTTAGGGCCAGATGGTCTGAGATACAGTTTCCGATCTCCACAAAATACTTTCTGTCCTGTAGGTAGGATATAAACCAGCTTAGGGCTGTTCCAGAAACACCAACCCAGTCCTCAAGTCTCTGAATGAGGATACCATGATCGACAGTGTCGAAAGCAGCACTTAAATCTAACAGGATAAGAACTGAGACTTTTCCTGCGTCAGTGTTAAGTCTGATGTCATTTGTTACCTTCACTAGAGCGGTCTCTGTGCTGTGGTGGGGTCTAAAACCAGACTGGAACATATCAAAAGAGTGATTGATTATTAAAAATTCTGTAAGTTGTTGATAGACAACTTTTTCTAGAATTTTACCCATGAAAGGCAGATTTGAAATGGGCCGATAACTTTTAAGTGCCAAGGCATCCAGACTCCTCTTTTTTAGGAGGGGTCTGATGACTGCCGTTTTCAGGGCCATTGGGAATGGTCCAGATTCAAGAGACATATTTACTATATGCGGGAGTGAAGGTAAAAGACTGCTCAGAACAGATTTAAGAAATCTAGGAGGTAATACATCCAGGCTACATGTAGAAGAACTCAGACTTGTAATTATCATTTGGACAGTTTCATTTTGTACTGGTGTAAAGTGTGTCAGCCCAAAAAGCTTCACTGGCTGTTGGATTGTAATTTCTACTGTGGAGGTGATGGCATTTTTTATGCCTTGGACTTTGTCAATAAAAAACTCTGCAAACTCATTACATTTGGTTTTGGAGGTAAGCTCTGATGGCATCTTAACAGGGGGATTTGTCAATTTATTTACTGTTGAGAACAGAACGCGTAGATTGTTACTGCAACCGTCGATTGTTTCGGAAAAATAAGTTTCCCTCGTTCTACGTAGCACACTGTTGAACTTGCACAATGCATCTTTGAAGATCTCATGGTCAACTTGGAGATTTGACTTTCGCCACTTCCGCTCGGCTCTCCGGCACTCTCTCTTCTGTGCCCTGACAGAGTCTGCTTTTGTCCATGGCGCCTTTTGCTTATTTGTAACAATTTTGACCTTTACAGGAGCAATCGTGTCCAGAACATCCAAAACACTAGAGGTGACAGAGTTAAGTAATTCATCCACAGTAGAACACAACGTGTTATCAAAGTTTATCATCCCCATGAAAAGTTCACCTGTATTTTTGTTTATGTGTCTTCTTCTTCTAACAATTGAGGATTCAGCTCGTGCTTTACTATTGAGACACATATCAAAAAATACACAGAAATGATCTGACAGAGCCACATTGGCCACATTTACATTTGAGATATTAACCCCTTTAGTAATTAGCAGATCGAGAGTGTGTCCTCTGCTATGGGTGGGGCCACTCACATGCTGAGTGAGACCAAAGGTTTCCAGCACAGAGCTCAGCTCTTTCGCGTATCTATCATTAACGTTATCCATCCATCCATCCATTTTCTTCCGCTTTATCCGTTGCCGGGTCGCGGGGGCAGCAGTCTAAGCAGAGACGCCCAGACTTCCCTATCCACACACACTTCCTCCAGCTCGTCCGGGGGGACCCCAAGGCGTTCCCAGGCCAGCTGAGAGACATAGTCCCTCCAGCGTGTCCTGGGTCTTCCGCGGGGCCTCCTCCCGGTGGGGCGTGCCCGGAACACCTCCCCAGGGAGGCGTCCAGGAAGCATCCGGAACAGATGCCCGAGCCACCTCAACTGGTTCCTCTCGACGTGGAGAAGCAGCGGTTCTACTCCGAGCTCCTCCCGTGTGACTGAGCTCCTCACCCTATCTCTAAGGGAGCGCCCAGCCACTCTGCGGAGGAAGCTCATTTCGACCGCTTGTATCCGCGATCTCGTTCTTTCGGTCATTACCCAAAGCTCATGACCATAGGTGAGGGAGGGAACGAAGATTGACCGGTAAATCGAGAGCTTTGCCTTTCGGCTCAGCTCCCTCTTCACCACAACGGTCCGATACAGCGACCGCATAACTGCGCACGCTGCACCGATCCGCCTGTCAATCTCACGCTCCATTCTTCCCTCACTCGTGAACAAGACCCCGAGATACTTGAACTCCTCCACTTGAGGAAGGACCTCTCCACCCACCTGCAGAGGGCAAGGCACCTTTTTCCGGTCGAGCACCATGGCCTCGGATTTGGAGGTGCTGATTCTCATCCCAGCCGCTTCACACTCGGCTGCAAACCGTCCCAGTGCATGCTGCAGGTCCTGGTTCGTTGGAGCCAACAGGACAACATCGTCCGCAAACAGCAGAGATGAAATCCTGTGGTCCCCGAACCGGACCCCCTCCGACCCCTGGCTGCGCCTAGATATTCTGTCCATAAATACAGTGAACAGAACCGGTGACAAAGGGCAGCCCTGTCGGAGGCCAACATTCACCGGGAACGGGTCTGACTTACTGCCGGCAATGCGAACACAGCTCTGGTTCCGGTCATACAGGGATCGGATGGCCCTCAGCAGAGGACCTCCGACCCCGTACTCCCGGAGAACCCCCCAAAGGACACCCCGGGGAACACAGTCGAACGCCTTCTCCAAATCCACAAAGCACATGTGGACAGGTTGGGCGAACTCCCATGAACCCTCGAGTATCCGATGGAGAGTATAGAGCTGGTCCAGTGTTCCGCGACCGGGACGAAAACCACACTGCTCCTCCTGGATCCGAGATTCGACCATCGGCCGTAACCTCCTCTCCAGTACCTTGGAGTAGACCTTACCGGGGAGGCTGAGGAGTGTGATCCCACGATAATTGGAACACACCCTCCGGTCCCCCTTCTTGTAGAGAGGGACCACCACCCCGGTCTGCCACTCCATTGGCACTCCATTGGCTCATTAACGTTATCTACATGTATATTAAAATCACCTATGACGACTAAACTATCAAAGTCTGTGCACACAACTGAAAGCAACTCGGTGAAATGATCAGTGAAACTATGACATGACTGTGGCGGCTTGTACACAACAATAATAAGAATAGAAGATTGTTTTTGTTCTATTTTAAAAGAGACATACTCAAATGAGGAAAATTTCCCAAGAGGTACTCTATGGGAGACAATACAATCTTTAAAAACTGCTGCTGTGCCTCCTCCTCTTTTATTTTCTCGAATTTCTGATTCAAATTTGAAATTTGGTGGTGTTGTTTCTATTAAGACTGCATTTTCTGTATTATGGTCAAGCCAAGTTTCAGTCATAAACATAAAGTCAAGATCATAAGAACAGATAAAATTATTAATTAAAAAGGATTTATTGCATAGTGATCTGACATTAAGCAGAGCAAGGTGAAAAATAATATCAGTGTCAGTGGGTTTAGTTGATTGACTACAAAGAATTGGAATTAGATTTCCTGAGTTGGACCGTCTAACTGCTGTCCTTCTGTTATATTTGTGTTTATTCAAATTAAAACACATTTCTGAGCCGGTGCGAGGAACACACACAGTCTCTATTGGTTTAAAAAGTGAACTCTGTTTTACTTTGTTAAGTTCCAGATGCATGACTGAGTAAGTACCGTTCAGTGGCAGGACTGGTATTACACTGCCAGACGGACAGAGGTCAGTGTTTGCACCACAGTACTCA